GTGCTGTGAAGACGCTTGTGGGCGTTCCTACTGCTGTAGCTCTAATGTTATTGGTAGACTGCACGTCTGGACATATCTGGACATAAAATGCAATCACAAACTATATATATTGCCGGTAAAACTAAGATATCATTCTATTATGACTAGGAATTAGACTTAAAAGAAATAAAAGTACCATTCTGCTGTTGGAGAGTGTTGTTATATAAACTACAGCAGTGCTCGTGCATTAAATCATTAACCGGTGCTAAACTGCTCACTGCATCATATAATTAACAACTTGAACCATCAATGTATGAAACAAACTCACTTAAACAGCCAACAGTTTCTTTTCTAGGCATCATTTTTTTAATATCCATGTATGTGGTTACAGTAAAATCATATAAAACATCGTTCAGGAAATCTGTCCTGTCTTGCCTGCACTTGAGACCGTGACGTGTGAGCGCCACTGACAGATTCTTCACTCCTATTGTTTGTCGCTCGCGAAATTCGCTGTTAATTTGCATAAAGTGAAACAATTCTTAACTTTTGTCGCTTGACTTACATCGCTTGACACGCCCACATTCTTTTGCCAACGGTCACTGTCGCTCGTGTCGCCGGAAGTCGCCAGTTCTCCATTGAAAATGAATGGGAGCATGTCGCTTTGTCGCTGGCAGTGTGAAGGTTAGGCTAGAAGGGATACGTATGGCGCTACTGCGCATGCGCACATCAATACAGCGTAATTTTTGTCACATTGTACAACAATAATTACTATTTTTCCATTATTGTAAGGGGTAGGTTTAGGGTTGGGTTAGGTTTAGACGTTAATAAAACACATCTAATATGTCGAAAATTAAATTTCATTGTTCGTTTCTGGTCGGAGCTGTATCCCTTCTAGCCACAACCCAGTGTGAACGGGGCTCCATGCATCGGACGGCGGCGGCGCTGCGCTTCTCGTCCAGTGTGTGACCGCCTTTCAGAAATGCAACAAGAAAACAGAGCAGTGAGAGTAACTGATATCACCAAAATAAAACATAGCTAAATTTAGTCAAATGAAAATCCTTATTACAAATGCATCATCACACAATCGGTCTGAGCACAAAACCAACAAATGTAATGTTTAATATAAGCCAACACATCATGACAGCGCTCACAGTAAAACAACTTAGCAACATACACTGCATTACAAACAAGCAGTGTTTATATTAAATAATATTATTATTGGCACAGCGGCCCAGTAAATATCCTCACTTACGTTATTTGCGGCTTCCATCGTGACGTGAATAATAGCTAGTTAGTTTATCAGTGTATATATTTTTTTTTTCAATAGAGATCCCACAGTGGGCAGAACTTGTCATAAAGTTAGCGATAACAAGGCCCGCCCATTTAGAGGAAAGATATCATGATTGGTAAGATTTTTCAGTCATTTAAAATTACGCTCCCATTGATTTACTATTGCTTGGCCCTCTGTAATTTCACAGCTGGACCACCAATCACAGAGCCGCAAACGCTAGGCGGAAACATACTAATATGGAGAAAATGGGAAAATGAGTTAATTTAACGCATTCACTGAATAGGCAGATTTGAAGAGTTTATTTCCACATAAATTATATTTATTTTATTTAGATGATGATTGTGAAATTATGAATTGCTTAAATAAAATAGGAAATTATGACTTTTTATTCAAAATAATATTTAAAAGTTTATAATTTAAAAAATATTTAAAAATTGTAAATATTGTTTTTACAATAGTTTAGGCCCTCTCTGAGGTTCCCCAATGATATATATATATATATATATATATATATATATATATATAAAACTCCGATCCGGAGATTTCATTCGGAGTAATCGGCAGAGAAATCTGCTATTGGTGCATCCCTAAAAATGAAAGTCATTTTAATATTTAAGATGGATTACCCTGACAGGATCAGAGAAAGTGTTGCTCAGCGGAGCCGTTTGCCCTCCTTTCAGCTCTCTGTATTTCAGATATTCATGGGCAAAAGAAATGGCCTCCTCTTCACTATTCAGAGAAAAAAGCACATTGAAAGACACTTTTTGTTAGAAATACATATATATATATATATATATACTGTATGTGTGTGTGTGTGTGTGTGTGTGTAATTTTATTACCTGCTGTGGTTGTATTTTCGCATCTGTTTCACAACCCTCCTTTTCTTTGCAATTTAGCAGATTGTGTAGTGAATGAGCCACAGCATAAACTGATTTGTAGACGTTGCTAGCATATCTTTGTTCTGGCACATCTTCATTGTTGCTTTTCAGCACAAGGAGATCCTGATATATGTTGCAAATTAATTCATTTTGTGAAGAATTGCCCTCAGTCTGTGTGCATGGAAAAGCTGTTTCCCAGAATTCTTTTATAACAAAATCCGCAAAACCTTCAATATTATTTTTTTTCACTGCAAACCCTAGTGATCCTCCTAGAACATGAAAACTATTTGAAGTGATCATACTGTCTGCTGTTATCCATGCCTCCACACCTATTACTTGTAGGCCCGTCATGTTCTGAATAATTAACTGATCAAGTAGATTGTTCATCTCAAAATTGGTCAGAAATGCGATAATGACTTTTGCAGTGCCTTTTTTTATTGTGTCTACAACATTTCTGAGTTTTTCAGGCTCTTTTCTCTGAAATTTCACAGAATACTCCACACAAATGCCCTCTTTTTCAGCTGTATTTAGAAATATAGCCATTCCATAGTTTCCATAGTCATTGTCACTGTTCACAGCCCCCACCCAAGACCAGCCAAAATGCTTGATTATGTATGCAAGTGCTCTGCTCTGGTGGTAATCACTAGCAATAGTCCTGAAGAAATAGGGATAATCTTTTCTATTACTGAGGCATTCACATGAGGCTGAGGGACTTATCTGAAAAAAAGAGCACAGGAAAGAGTGAAACCGTTATCATTATGGTAATTATGTCAAACATTTAGTGATTTTGCTCCTTACCACAGGAATTTTAAAAGGCCCTGTAGTTCTGGACAAAATCACTGTGTTGGAAGACTCTGTTTCTCCTATGATAGCATGTATAGGAGACTGTCCATTGCATCTGTCCCCTGATACAAATTCTTGACCATTCATTAATGCCATATTTGCACCCATAGAAGATAGTATTGAACCACAGGTATCATAAATTTGGTAACCAATTGAAACATTTGGAAGTAAAGTTACACTTGTGTTAATCTCCTCAATGGCAAAGATCATGATTTGAGCCATTCGAAAATCTCGTAGACTCACACTGTGAGAAAAATAAATAAATAATAAAAAAAACAGAAGGTTAAACAAACATCATTTTAAATTAATTAATTGCTGTAATGATTCTAAAATTAATTTTTAAAGTAAAAAAAACCTTGAGCATGATAAAAGCTGAGGCTTTTGCGTGAACTTAAATGAAGGTAATGTCTCTATGCTGTGGACTGGAAAAAGTGCTCCAATAGTTACGTCTCCATCCTTTGATAAGAGCGGGTACTTAGGGTCTCCCATCATATGACAAAGAGACTTTTCTGCCTTGGCATGAAGTTGAAAGAAAAGCAGAAGTATGCAAAGAAAGACAGACATCCCAAAGAATGAGTTCAGCTGTGACCAAATGCAACTGGCTTGATACTGGCTTGATATTTGCACTTTTATGCATATGTTCAATATGGATGATTGATTGTGAATGCAGCCAATGACCTCATAGGGCAGGACATGGGCCAAGTCAAGCAACAAATAATCAGTTGATGCTGTGAAATTATATTTGGATACATAGTGTCTAACAAATGATGGCTCTTACATATTTTTTTTTCTAAATGTATTCACATTTATTTATTGTATGAGGAATTATATTATGACATAAGTAATTATTTGTTCTACTGCATGGAACTCAAAGTACTTGCAATATGTACTCCTTTGTCTATTTAAGACTATTTTTGCAGTTCCCTTTCAAGTTATCTTGCACTGCATCAAAAGCAGACGCTATGGGGAACTCCGCTGCATGACTGTGTCTGAAACGAATGTGCAACTACTCCAGTCTTTGTTGGTGCTGTGTGACTTGTGATGTGTAATGGCGTACCGCAGAAGATATAAAGGATACCCGGAACAAAGCAGCATCAGTTTCTTCTCTTCAACAAGCACTCTGTGAGAACAGTCTGTCTTGTTGGTGTTGTTTGTTAAAGTGAAAAAGAAATTAAAAAGAAATTAAAAAATGGTGAGTGTGAAGCAGTTTAGATTGTGTGTGCCTCCCTGCCCATGCCATTATGTGTGGGGACACACACAATCTTTGTGTTAGCTGCTTGGGAGCGGAGCATGCATGGTCAGTTCGTAGTTGTGAACAGCTGCTGCTTAGAATGCTCAAGTGGAGCTTCTGGAGATGGCTTCAAGATGGCTTCAGCCCTTTCGTGGCTCTGAACCACTTGCTCCAGATGACAGCTTTTCAAAGGTTTATTCTCTGTCATTTCTAAGCCAAATGCAAATCTCAGGGTTCACCTCCAAGGAGGCTTACACAAGATTCAGTTCAGTTGCTGCCCGCCAGTCAGCTGCTTCAGGACACTGAACTCAGTTCTCCGAGCATGCCCTAGGTCAGCTTCCCTCAGACTGGATGCTTCCCTCACAGGCTAGGTAGTTCAGTTCGGGGGCTTTGGAGAGGGCCTCAACTCTCGTGGTGCATAAATTGCCTGGACATGTTGGCTTTATTTGTTGCTCTGATATACTTCCTTGCAGACTTTAGGGGTTGCCGTATTCTGGTTTGAACAGGCAATACTGAGGTCCCAGGGCAAACTGCTTTCACTCAGAGAAATGTACATACCTCAGCACCTCAATGTGGGAGCAGACAGGAGGGACCTTCTTTTGCAAGCCGGGGGCACAATATACACAATATATATCGGCCCACTCCATCATTTTTTTATCGTATAGTTAAGAGTAATACATCATTCAAACTGTAAATGGTCTAATTGTATTTGTGTACAGTAACTATAACAACAAAACATTGTGCTTTTGTAAAATAAAGAAAAGTAAAGAAGTGCATGCTTCCTGCTGTCTCTGTCTCCATGAACTTCTTTCTGAAGCGTGTCACAAAAATGAACCAAAACTCAGCAAATACTTGCCTCACAGACATGACAAATAAGTACAGAGAAAATGTCTACTTTTAAATTAAGTCATATCGAAAACAAATATTCTCTGATAAAATACTGTCTGCGTCCGAAATGGCATACTCAACCAGTAAAGTACTTACTTAACGAGAGCTAAAAGAGTACATACTCTACAGCCAAATTTCGTTGAGTATGAATGCCATCCGCCATGTTTACGTTATCATGTGATCTATGACGTTATAACAAGCGCAACAACTTAAAAGATATGAGCGACAGGTTTAATTTAACTATCTGTGAATATTTTGATGTTGATGAAATTTGCAAATTTTTGGTCTTGTTGAAGAAGCTGCTCTTGTGATTGTAGTATAACCAATACATTTTGGGTTGATTTAAGTTTTTATACTTTTAACTCTTCTAATATAACCCACAGTTTAATCCTTAAAGATATTACTTCTTATTACAAAAAACTTGAATATGTTAATACTTTCTTAATTTTATGTGCAAAATTGTTCATCCACATGCAAAACTGGCTTATATCTCCTTTGTTTTCCTCTTTTTCTTGTTGAATGTCTCTCTTGTTTCATCCCTGAGGCTTATAAATAACAAAAACAAAAACAAATGCAATATTTAATGCATTATGATTATATGCATTTTATGATTATTCAAAGATATTTAATCTTTTTTTTTTACTGTGTATATAATCTCATACTATGATGTAGGCAAACCCATCATAGTTATGTTTTCTGTTTTTTTGTCATTATGATTGTTCATTGTTACAGATACTACCATTTTTCCCTGAGCTTGTATGTAATTATAAGTTCTGCAGTAATAATAATAAAAAGAAAAAAGAGTGACAGGTGCACAAATACCTCATAGCACCAATAAATCCACAACCCTACCTAGTACGTTTTCCTCCATGTTTGCAATGTTTGTAATATCTGCACAAAGGAGATGTCAGGCAGCTGCTCAAATATCTCGTCTTTGGAGAAGACTGTTGAATTTACACTCGAAAAATGTAAGTATTACTACTTAGAAATTAAGATTACCTCAGAATGCATTGCTAGCCCAACATTTATGAACAATAATAATGATAAATGCTGACCAATAATTAATTATATTTTTTAGTAAAACAAGCAAAATGTAATTTGCTTTTTCATATATCATAGCTGTGCATGACTACACACTACTAGACAAATGCAACCAAGGTGAATACATCTCAATTTCAGTCAAGTAATGAATTAATGCATATGTTCATATTGAAACAATTATATTTTATTTACTGACAACAACAGGTCAAGTCAAGTCAAGTCACCTTTATTTATATAGCGCTTTTAACAATACAGATTGTGTCAAAGCAACTGAACAGCA